ATTTTGTGAGTTCTGTTACAATCGTACCCTGTTACAATTGACCCCACTCTCCCCTACAGCTTTATTGTTTATACGTGACTGAAACAGGTTTGCACTTGTTTACATTCGTATATCAATGGGTTAACAATGTAATGCAATACGTAAAAAATAAATAGGAAGTATATAAAAATTCTCCTAAATAAAACCTCATTACATGTATGCTTAAATATTAAAGTATTGCCTATAAACTCGTGCAAAACATGAAATTATTTCAAAAAAACTACAGCGCGTCTAAAAATTTGGTCTATTTATTATAATATGCTAATATAATACTTGATATAATAGATGTTCTATAGTTATATAGTATATCGTCCAATTTGTCCAACCATCGAATTTATATTATATATCGTCTAATTTAACCCATTGAAACACGAACGTAAACAAGTACAAACTGGTTCACAACATAAAAACAATAAAGCTGTATAGTATCAACTGATAATTAAGATTTTGCATAAAATCTTATGGTGTGTCTAATAGTTTGGCCAGTGTATCAGAATCTGAATAATATCAGAAATATGTTATTGTCCTGCATCAACTATACTCTTTCGTATAAAGTCTAATAAAAATATATTTAATCAGGCTGTTATTTCTCAAAATGTGCTCTTCAACATTCTATGGAGAATGTTAAAGGGGTAAAAAACAATACTCAGGATTCCAGAGCAAAATCATTCTTAGATCGGCCTCCTTACTCTAAGAATTCCAGATGATAACATACGCTGTAATGCTCAGAACAATTTCAGTACATCTGTATGTATGTTAGCAATTTATTTATTCTTAGCTGTATTTTATGTTGCTAACTATATTTCCATTAGTGAATAATTCTGTTTCTATAAATACCTTCTGTATGTATCATGCAAAGTCTCTGAAGCTTTTTTTCTCAAACATACTCTTGCTTAGTTAATTTACAGACATATATATTTTTATTATCGGTTGGAGATTCTGCAATTCGCTAGAAAAAGCTTCGTTCAACCAGTTCATAGAAGCGTAAGCATCATAGAAAATTATGAGAAATAGTTTTTCTTGGAATGAGCAAGAATTTCACTGATGCGATTCAAATCGATTGATATCTTTTTTTTTTATCGAGACATTAAATGATGCAGTTTATGTGAGAATTTCAGCGCAACCAGTATCAAATTCGTCTTTTGAATTATTGGATGTTTAGTTACATCATATCAAGGGGATTGATATCAGTATTATTGTTTCATCTCAAATATGATTTTGATTTTAAAGTTTATTTTGTTTCGAAAAGAAAAAAAAATGATTACGTGCGTAACTTATTTTTATGATCTTCACCAGTTTGTACTGCCTCATTCACATGATAGAAACGTAAGCAGCATAGAGAATTATAAGCAAATGCAATCTTGGAAAGTACTGGTACTGTGATGATAAGCAGTTGGAGGCTGATTAAGTATTGTAATTTACATGAGAAATGTGTCACAATCTTACTGAATTTATATTACAGAACTTATTTATCTGGGACTTTTTTTTAGATAGCTAGCACACTGCCTAACCATTTCCATAGCATTATTTTTTTAAAATAATATTTTAAGAAAATGAATAAGATTTCTTTAGCAACTAATATTTTGTTCCACAGACAGATGTTCCATTTGGAAAATTTGTGCTAATATTATAAATAATTTACTGTAACTATATTTAAGAATAGCTATAAAGTTTTCTGATACTAATCCGTATTAAAACAAATCTTCTGTGTGATGAAATCAATATTAGAAATACGACGAATATAAAATTTTTAAAACTGTTACCGATCTCTTTCATTTAGAACAGAGAGCGTAGCCAAATCCTTCAACAAAAAATAAGCACCTTTTAAACACTCAAAAAAATATTTTTAAGCACTATATACACTAACAAAAGGAAAATTAATTTTCAAAGACTTCACATGATCATGATAAAATGACTAGTTTCTGACAAAGAACTTTTTTTTTTGATTATATTAACCTCAATAAAAAGATCCAGAGATTTTTCGGTTCGATTTCAAAGGGTGTAAAAAGAAGCTGCTTGAAATTGAGAATATCTTTCAAAATGCAGCAGAGTTGCACATGACAAGAATTTCATCAAATATGTAAAATGATTGGCGCTTTCATACGCTATAGACTGACGGTAGGCCTAAATGGATTGTGGTTGAATGAATTGTGAAAACATTGAAAAGAACAATGTGAAGAGTACAATGTGAAGAGCAATGTGAAGAGCTTTTGCATAATACGTGGCGAAAATCGACTTTGTAAAAAAAAATAATCTCCTTTTCGAAAAGGGAAAATTAAGCACTTTTTAAAAACACCCTATTGAAAAAGTACCTTTAAGAGCTTTAATAAACGAAAAACGAAAATAAACACCTTCAAGCACTTTTTTTTTACCACGTAGAAGAAACACACATAAAATTGTTAATTATCTCTTACTTAAGAGAGTTGCAACCGAAGCCACCATAATAGCCAATGCTTCATAGCTCAAGACCAGTACAGAAGCACTGTTCACGTGTTCGGTCTCCTTCTTAAGAATATTCTCGGCACAACTGCAGTTGAAGCAGAGTTCTTTGGTGGGGCAGACGCAGAAGAATCCACGCCCACTCACCAAGTTATGACACTTGCTGTCTTGGACACAGGGATGGTCTTCGCATTCATCTTTATCGATGCATTGCTTACTGTCCGAAGGATTCCTTGTCAGGCCACTTGGGCAGCTGCACGCGAGTGAGGGAGACAAAAATAATAAAACGAAATAAAAAGCATGTGTGGCAACAAAAACTGATCCGAAATAAATCTCCACAAATTAACTGTTTCGAATCAATACAGTCGAACCACCCCGCTATAGTGAACATTCTGCTGACGACCCAGCAGTAAGTCACTATATCCAAAAGCTTAGAAAAAATATTTTTGCTTACAGCAAATTTCTGTCTATGGTGAAAATTTTAATCGAAACGTTAAATAAACATTCAAAATATTCTCCTCTCCTTATAAGGAATTTTTCGATGGTTATCGTTTTTATTTCAGTCTTTTTAAATAAATTTGCAGTTCAAAGTTTGAATTTCCGTAAAGTAAATTCACTTTCCCACGCGCCTATTTTTAAAATCACTCGCGTGATTCAATCCAGCAAAATAACTCATTTTAAACACCCTTTATAATGTGCATTGTTTCGTTTTTAATTAAAAGTCCTAATTATACACCTTTAAACTTATCACATAGACCTAATCATTTCGTAAAAATTATTTAAATACCTGCAAATAGAAAATTTGAGTCCATTATAAAGGAACTACAAATTTCTCAGCTGGTCGCTATAAGCTTATTAAATAACATTAGTTAAACAGCAGTTCAGATGGGATCACTAAAAACTTCCTCTCTACCCGATTTTCAAATATATCCTGGGTTCGTTATAGCGGGGCATTACCTTAAGACAACAGAGATATTCAATCGGATCAATTCTTGTTGTCCACTTATAGACCAACACTTACTAAGTATATTGAGCAGACAGATTAGTATGGCAGCCAGGGCAGCCATGCTAAGACGCATGACTTTTTCTTCGTGCCTCGCACCGCAGTAAAGGCCTCCAAAACCATCGGGGCAAACGCAATAGTAACCCTCACCGTTAGGTAAGTTGACACAACTGCCGCCGTTTAGGCAAGGATCACTTAAGCACTCATTGGCGTCAGTGCAGTTCTTACCATCTTCAGTAATGGTGAAACCTTCAGGGCACCTGCAGGGGAACATTCAGGTTTGGAAAAAGGTTATGTTAGGTTAGAGTGGAAAGACGGTTAAAAAAGCAACATGATGAAGCATCGGCACACAGAAAAAGTACCAAACATACATTATTCAAAAAACGACAATGAGCATGCGTACATGAAAAGCATTTCAACATTATTAAAAATACTCAGTTACAGAGAAACACTTCACACAAAATTAGTTTTAATGTAATAGATATATTGAATTTTGTGAGTTCTCGATTGAGGGAAAATTAAATCAATTAAATAAAAATAAAAAATTACTATCTGCAAACACACAATTTAAAGTACTAACATATCTCGTACAAGAATATTAGCGTTGGTTTTTCACCTTATCTTAATGATGCTACAGCACAAGAGACTAAAGGATTTAGATAACCAAGAATGGCTAAAATTAAGCCTCCGCCAAAAACTGAAAATTAAAATTGTGTTTAGAAACGAGAAAGGACATTGGTCAACGGTACTTGTACTATCTTGAGTTATAATAAAATTTAAGAACGGATGAATCTAAGAACATTCTAAGGTTACATATAGTCCCTTTCAGATGACAGAGAGGAAAGCCTGCGTAAATGAAGAGTTCTCAAGTGCGCAAGCTAGCTAAAAAGCGTATTATTTGCCAGCAATTGATTTGTTAATATGTATTTACATGTACGCGCGTATTCATTTGTCACCACAAAAGCTATAAAAAGTTAGCTTAAAGCAGGGTTAAATATTAACGGGGTTTAAATTAAATCTCGTTCAATACACGTAATTTTATATGAGTCGTAGGTTTATGAAAATATCTGGCTTTCTGTACCGTGCAAGGGTGATTGGAAAATATCTGTAGTATTTTCTAATGTGCTTGAAATTTCTCTTAGATTTATTACAATCAGTATAATTAAGAAACGCGTGAAGAATTAATCAGACTGATCATGCTTAAGGTTCTTGTAAAGAACTTTTAAAAAGGCTAATTGCAATAAGCCCTCACAACTTTTCGTTTATTGCAAACTGACTGAAATCAATCAGGCTAAATTAAGCAATGTATGACATATTTGGCGCATTGCAAAATACCATAGATTTTAAGTATGAGGTTTTTTGAGAGTTTATATCTTATCTTTTCAGAGATTTTAGAAGTCCCTTTTTACCGTATTTGTGCTTATGAGCAATGGACGTTGCTTTGCGTTTTGAACATGTTGTAGAAGTCAAATAAAGCTTTACAACAATGGTGGAAAGCTTACCGGCACTCGTGTAGCATCCATAGATCGAGGCATATGAAGGGTTTAGGGCAGATGATGCCCTGACAGGGGTTGTTGGATGGACACTTGTTGATGAGGTTCCTCCACTCTAGGACGGCTGCGTTCTCTGAACCATTCTCCATCGGGAGATAACGTTGATCCAGGCGGATGTCATTCATACAACCTGTTGTTCATTTTTGGAAGATACAACCAAAATTTAGAAAAATGGATTCAATTAGTTAAAGTTGAAATATGCTTCTAAAAAAATAAAAAATTACGGTTTTCTGCAGTGACTTCTCTTAATATACAGTTTTGGAGTTCACGTAAAATCTGGCGCTAACATTTCTCATTATGTAGCAAATTGATATTTATGTGAGAAGAAGCAAAACTGTTTTTAAACTATGACCACTCGTAATTTTGTTCGGCAAAAAGTAAAGAATGGAATAAAATTATCAGAAACCATCTTGTCTAGTAAGATTGGAATGTATACATATTTTGCTACAAATAACCTGTAGTACTTTATTCACGTTGCACTAGAGTTGCACAATGGGCTATTAACGACGGTCTAGGAAGCATCCGCAAGGTTGATCCGAAGACATGCCATCACAACTTTGATTCCCTACTGAAGGGCTTCCGCTTTGGTAACTCGACGACCTCCACGCGAATTCAAATAATTTACGGTAAGAAAGTTAAACGAGGTCCGATACCACGCACCCACTGTCCTTTCGCTGGCTGGTCAAAGTGGGTAAACGACCTTTAAGCTTTATTCTTAAAATAACTAGTTGTAGATGATTTTAACCCCTTGGTTGTCAATATTAACCTTATTAGGGATTAGCTGACATGATCATTTCCAGCCATATTGATAATTTTTACTTTTTAATCTGCATTTTTTTTATTATAAAGCTCTTAATTGTAAATTACATAAGTTCAAGATGGTATTTTGAGAATGATCTAGATTTGATAAACTGATTTTTTCCAAGTTACCGGATTAAATGTAAAGTTTTATTGTAAGAGTTAAGCGCCTGATATAAATTTTTAGCTTAAAATCTTATTTCATAGTAATTTTAAGTCGTTTATAGGAACATTTATCACAAATAAAGAGTGCGCATGCTAGCAGTTTTTGCTCTCAATATAAATAGACATAAACAGCATTTCACTTTCCGATCCTACGGAAGAAATGACAAGATCTCAAATAAAAGTGAACGACGTCCTTCGATTTTGCAAATAAGCGTCCTGAATTATTTAATTCTTTTTGAAACCGAATTAAATGAAATGGCCTTATTTGTTATTGTACTGACCTTCTTGGAAGTCATTGTCGACGACCGTGACTCCAGGCCCCACGTACTGTACATCACCGCCAGCGATGACATTCTGTTTCTCAATCATCATCAACTGATGTTGACCTTCGTACTCCAGAAGCTCGTTGTACCTGCGGCCACCGCCGCCATCGACGGACATACTGGCCGTACTGCCGTGTCGTAGGACTCGGACCGTATGCCACTGGCCGTCACTCACCTGCACATTAGGTAACCAAAGCTCGTGCTCATCCGATGATCTCAGGTGGTTGAGGTTAAAGCGAAGGCGCAGCTTTTTATCTCTGATCTGAATGAGAAAAAATCATTTAAATTAATTACAAATGACTTCCAAATACATTTAATATTGCGAACTGTTTTTGTTAGAAAATAGACAGTTCAGCCACACGTTGACAACAAAATAACCTAAATTACACTTTGAACTATACGTGTGGCAACATGTTTACTACAACTCTTATAGTGAGTTCATTCCTGGTTTAGTAATATTGTCCACAAAATAAGTATAGGATGTCTAAGCTGACGTCACCTTCCCTACTTGTCCACTGGAAATCCATCGATGATCAATGAGCTACAGCTAGCAATCAATGGAAATATGCTTCTATTCATATTCAATAGAATATGAATCGTCCAAAAGGAATGGTGCAAACGACAATTGATTTATTCCACTTAGTGATGTAGTTCAGCCTCGGGCTTGGACATCTCTACTTCAAAAAAATTAACGGTTTAATCTACATACTTTAAACTTTGATATTTTTCAATCTATAGTTAGTATTCATTTTGTTAGGTTGTCTCAAGTAATAATTTAAGTAGAGTTGAATAGTTATACGTTATGAATTTATTTAGAATAAATTTCTATTTTCATAGAAATAAAAACTTAGTTAGGGAATAATTTAGAAGTTTTAAACATAAATGGTGCAGCGTATGGTCATAACAACTATTGGTGACGGAGCTTGCTTTTTTCAAGCTAATTTTTCTAGCAATATGGTGAGTGAGAAAGTAGTACTGCGCGGAATGGAGAATATGAAGGAATTTTTTTAAAATCTTATCTCAGAAATGGAGATTTGTAAGGGAAGGTTTTTTATCTTCCTACTATGTGCGATTTTGGATAAATAAAAACGAAGTAAATTGGAGACATCACAACATTTAATATACACAGTTATTTACAAGTTAATATAAAATATATAAATCCNCTAGTTCCTTTGGAAATAATTTATATTGTTGTTTTACCGAAGTTTATGAATTTAGTAAACATATTTAAAACTGAGTTTATTAATTAAACTAAAAGGTAAATGTTATTCCTAGTAAGTGGAAGTAGTTGTGCTTTTTTCATATTATACCCAATTTTGTATTTTCATAGAAATAAAAAAAACTTAGTTACGAAGTAATTTAGAAATTTTAAACATAAACGGTGGTATGGTCCCGCATACTGTCATAACGTTGGTGACGGAGCTTGCCTTTTTCAAGCAAATTTTTTCGAGCAATATGGTGCTTGAGGGAGTAGTACTGCGCGTAATAGAGAATTTGAATGAGTTTCCTGTCTATCTCAGAAATGGAGATTATTTTAATATTTCTGCTGCCTACTATTCTTAAATATTCTGAACTCATGCTTACGGTGGTTTCAGAGTTAATGGCTGTCGGATAGTTTTTTACCTTGAAAACCTTGTTATGTCAAAAAAATATTTTTCCCCATATTATATATCCACCTAATGTTAATTTGAATTTCTATGTCGAAGAGTTCCGTCTCAAAACCCTGTTATATCAAGATTTTTTCGAAAAAGAAATTGAATTTTTTTGGAAAAATCACAATGTACATTTATTGTAAACCAATTCTTTTCTAATTAATGCATAATTATTTTTATCTTACTTTCAAAAATAAAATTATCATCGTCGCATTTAGACTTATAAATAAGTATGTAATGATAGTAGACTATAAGTTGTTATTCTTATGTTTTATGACTCTACTTTTTTGAGTAATATTTTAAGAATATATTTTTCTACTTTTTAGAACATATTTAGTTCTGATCTTGTTATCTCGAAAACTCGCTATCTCTAAATTTTTTTTTAGCGTGTCTTCAACTTGAAGATATCGGGAGTATAGTGCACTTTCATTATATGAATAAAGATTAGTGGACGTACTTCAAGTATGCAGTACTCTCGCCCATGTTTGCTGGTGGCTCGAAACAGCTCTCCGTGTTTCTGCCTCGTCCGGAACTGCAGTTGGATGTCTGTCTTGTAAGGATCCGGCTCGAAAGACAGAGCGTATTTAATATAACTATTCTGCTGGAACATCTTTGAAATCGTTTCTGAAAATTAAGTGATAAAAAATTAGAAAATAGTAACATGGTAGTTGAGGTAAAAGCGTCCAGTCTGGTTTTTAAGATTTGTTTTTTCACCGAGAAAAGTCACGGCTTTCGTACCAAGTAAAACTATAATTTTAAATGAGATATTTTGCGGAAAAGATTGGACGTATAGATATTTTTTACAAACAAAATATAATTGAAAATAAAAAAAAATCAAATTATGACTAGATTTTTATAATAATTAATAACTAATTATTATTTTCATTGTTTGTTATTTTCTATTTTCTCAGATGCGAAATTGGCAGAAAATGATATTTTAATTAGCTAAGAAGAAAATAAACTCATGATCGCGATAAATTAATAAATAAAAAAAAATATAAACAATTGATTAAACTTGATTATTTGTTTTAGTTATTTTTAAATATTGTACATGAGAAGTTTTTAAATTTTTTTTGCATAGTTTTAAATTTTTCCCCGCAAGTGCTAAAAGAGACTATACCGCGCTTAACGCTTGGTCAAAATTAAAAATTACATTTCGTACGTTTAATTATGCTAACTTTCATATGTTTAAATTACATTTCGGCATGTTTTTCCGTGAGACTTATATAAGAATGTTTGTAAAAAAAGTATATTGCAAGTTTGTTTACCAACGATCAACCACTGTTTTTTATTCCATTGCTTGAAAGCAAAAAAAGAAAAAAAACATACGATTTTAACAAACTAGAAATTATTTATTTAAAAAAATGAATAACAATTTGTATGAACTCCTGCAAAGTTAAGGCTTACGAATAATTTCAAAAATATATTTTATCTCAGTGTTCTCAACATTCCAGCAAAATTACTCCGTGCCAGAAGTTGCCATCCGGGACCTAGAGGATAAAAAGAGGCTTAGTTCTAGGCCTAACTTAAAAGGCTTAGAACAAACTTCCAAGGATACTCACCTTTATCACACCGACTACCGAAGTAGCCAGGATAACAAGTGCATTTGGCAGAATTGTAGGTACCAACGCAGGTACCGTGCTCACATTGCCGAGTAATGCTGTTACTTTGGCACGCATCGTCTGCTGGTTTGCATCCCGGACTGCTGGCTGAGCTGCTGCCCGGATTTCCAAGATCATACATCTGGAACGAGAAAGAAATCGAAACAGGTTCATTTAGACAAGTGGACTTATAAAGAGAGAATTTTATTTTATTTCTAAACTGGCGTTGAACAGCAGACCCAATTTTGAGTCTAAAATTATCAAAGTTACTAGCCTTAATTTTGAACCTAACTCAGAAGACAAGAGAGTTCCTGGATCTAACATTGAGACAATCTAGACACTGTAGCAGGGGTGGCGAACCTTTATACACCAAAGCGCCAATTTTTCTAAAAAATTGTTTACTGAGGTCATAGAGGTGCCTTCAAATAATTTTGACTTCGTGATTATTGAGAAAATAATAATACTAAATACTATCAACTCAAAACTCTTTATTTACATTGAAAAAAAAAACATTTTGCCATGTCTTAAATTAAAACAACTTAAAGTAACATCAGTGTAACTTCTGTTGCTGCAGATTAGATGACAATAACTTATATTAAGTTGTAAGATGTTAGTTTAAGCAGGACTGTTATTTTTTTTTTTTGCTAGTTATTTATTTTTAGCTTGTTTTTATGGTTATTAATTGTTTTTTAGCATTAATTGTCAATTTTTTTATTAATAATTGCTTATTATTTTGTTTGTTATTGTGAATTTTAATTTAATTGTTACATATGCTTCATAGTGTAATAACATTTGTGTAATAATAATTCATAAACCTGTAATAACAATTGTGATCGGTGGCGTGCCCAAAATATTGTGTCTCGTGCCATAAATGGCACGCGTGCCATTGGTTCGCCATCCCTGCACTATAGTGTCATTTAATGGAAATAACGGAGAGGAAAATCTCTCACGGTCATGCCGTCAGCAAGGGTATTATAGCCAATGATCATTCTACCGCTGAGGATATTTAATGTGTGTACAGAATTTGTATCAGTCATCCATTGATGCTGGGATTCGAACCTTGGTCAGTCATTGGGGAGTTTAATAATTGTCTTTTTCATCTTTGTACTTAATCATTAAGATGAACTTAGAGAGGTGGACAACTTCACTTTTTTGCTGCATGCTGTTGACTCACTATCGAGTAGTCCATTAATAATTTTACCCAATCAATTATTAACTACGATTAATTATTAACTAAAACCAAAATATTTAATAGTACTTATTAGGTGGAAAAAAATGGAAAATAAATTTCAATTGTAGTTTTGAAAATAAAATATTTTTCTTCAAGAATTACAAGTATAAAATTTTAACTTAAACTTTTAAATTTAAAAAAAAATCCTCACAATGCACTTTAATAACTACAAAACGTTGGAAAATAGGAAATCGAAATATAAGCATACAGTTTTTCAAAAAATATGTTGTAATTCAACAATATGATTTTAGAATTAAAAGCAAACAATCTTAAAAATAATTACATAAAAATAAATAGCTGTATAAAAAAAGAAAACCCGCGAAAAAAGCTAAAGAATGATTTTTTTAATGAAATATTTCATATGTTTAGTAAATAAATACGCTAACAAAAGAAACAAAAGATCGTCATAGGAAATTAATATTTGAAAACACGGATGGGTCAATCTTAGATAGTAAAAAAATGCGAATTAAACAAGTTAACAATGAATTTTTTTCATAAATTCTTTTCAAACGTTAATAAAAATGTAAAAAAAAGAGAAATTTCAATATTTTAAAAAATTTGAAAGTCGTAAATGCCATTACCAAGACTTATTAAGCCTTAATTTTGATTCTTTAAACCTTTATTTGAAGGAATTCAAGGCACAGACAGCAATGATCTAGTTATACATATAAGTTTATTTTCAATTTCGTATTTCATAGGAAAATTTAAATAACGCAGCCTTCCTCAATAATGATTCGTTAGGTTTTGATAACATTTTTGTTCCTCGTCCTAATTTTAATAAATCTTTAATGTGCTTTCAGTTTTATATAATGATAAAGGTATAATCTTTCAAATAAAGGTTTAAAGATCCAGAGTAAAGATTTGATAAGTCTCGGTAATTTACAACTTAGCAATTATTTGAAATATTACTTCTTTTGATATTTTAACTAACGTATTCAAAACATTAAGGACGATGATTACTCTATTTCAGAATATTAACAGCTATAGGAAAAGTATAGTCCCATGTTTAAACGAATTTTTCACTCTTTTTAATTAGCAAATTAACGGAATTGTTTCAAAAGATCGCTGGATTCATTTCATTTTAGAACAATTTGTAAATACGCTTTAAAATGTTACAGTACAGAATTTCTTTCGATATTTTTTTTCTTCGTCATTTGATTGTCATACGTAATCAGGGCATCTTCGCTAAGATAAAATATTCTAGAAATTGATAGAATCATTAATTAACTTTTCAATCGGAAAATATAAGGCATGAGAGGTTTAGTGAGCCGAAAGGCTTCGTTTCCTGCGTATTTTCTTTGCACCGTAAAAATTTAATGAAGTGCAACTTCTAACAAAGGTATTATTCTGCAGAGAGGAGGAGAAAAAAATCCTACTGTCAGTTTCTGTTGGTAGGGCCGCTGACATGAAAAAAACATATTTGAATAAGTTAAGAGGGTAAAAATAATGAAACTTAATAAGCCTACGAAATATTCGTATAGAATGAGTAAAACAATAGCTGCTTTCATAATCTTCATTTGCATTTAAATTAGCTTTTCATCAGCCTAAATTTTCTTCGACGAGAACGAAAAGTACTTTTAAGTTATCAGGAGAATTCTTTTACGGAAACATCAAACTCTATTTTTGGTTATATTTCATTCAATTTGTGACAGAATTTTGGTTTTATTGAAGGAATCAGTAAATAATGGATACATTTTTTTTTAATATGACTGAATATATATGTAAGTAAAGTGATTTTCTTTTAAAACTCAAACAATGTTTAAAAGTACTTTTATTCAAAATTTAAAATAAAAAGTTTGAAAGATATATGAATGATATTATACCTCTAGAGTGTTCTAAAACAATAAGAAATAAATTTTATTGTATCCCTTAAAGTTTGTTAGCCCATTTAACTATTTTTTTAAAAAAAATATTAACAAAATTTTTTATGCATTCTGTTTTAGTACGGATATTTCATGCTTGGATACTTCTTGACTTTTTACTATATACTAGATTTATTTGGATACTAAATTTTTTTTTCGATTAAATTATGATTAAGTTATTTTCATGCGTCACGTGCAGAGTATCTACTGTAAGTTTAAGATGTCCCACACGAGACGCATGCAAATTAATTATTTCAATAAAAAACATTTTATAAAAATGAATCTCTGCTAGAAGAGACACCTAATTCTAAGACATTTGTCTTAGAATTAGTTTATAATATAAAAACGTAAAAAAGACACAAGACTGTTTTCTATTGTTGTCGGCGTATTCTTATTTGCCATAAAAATCACATGGTACGATCCATTTTTCTCACAAAGGAGTTGAGCTTTTTAGCTATTTATTATAGTGCTCAAAGCGTGAGTTTGTAAGAAAATGGATTAAAAAAAAAGTAATTTTAATGTTCAACTCAAATTTCGTGCTTACGTTTTTTTTTTTAATCACTAAGCATAATCATTAAGCGGTCACTTAGAGATCGGGGGTAACTGTCAATAATACAGATGTAACTTTTCAGAGATCTCTTCGTATTCAGAATACTTAACAAGCGATTTTTTAAATATAAATTTAAAAAGCGTCAATTTAATAACACTATTATAACTTTATAAGACTCGTGATAATGTAGAAAGAACTGTCAACTTTTAACATCGTTTATTTTTCTTTCAATTTTTTTAAATAAAAGACTAATTAAAAAATGTACTAAAAGTGATTTAGGCAAATGGGAGATATTGCATAACTAATTTATTTGGATTAAATAAAAATAAAAATATTTCATAACAGAAAAACGGAATCAAATGTTTTGCCCATTTTCTTTAAGTATTTAATACATAATATAATTTTATATCGATTTCGTTTTTTTTTTCAAACAAGCATTTGTGTCCAATTTTCCTAAACACGCATTGTGAGATGTCCATTTCTTTAACATGCATTTCGAGTTGAGTTGTGTCCATTTCTTAGACTCACACATAAATGCTTGTTGCGTTATTACATAACGCATTTCGAGTTGTGTCCAGAATAAAAAGCTCACTAAAGAGTTATTAAATCGTTCATGACAAATGGCCGTAACTTGTAGAACACAATGCTTGGCATTTTCAGCAAAGGACGAGAAATACATTTTATTAAGTCAATAAATAAAACAATAAAAAGGGGGTAGTCCAGTGGTTTGAGAAATGGGCTCTGGTCTGGAGGGGCTGGGGTTCGATCTTTGACTTTGCTAAGTCAAGTGACACGCGTATTCGTACAATCTGTGTGGAATTGAAAATTCTGTGGTCACAAGAATCTTAGAAATATTCCTTACCCTTCAAATCTATGTCTACAGTGAGGAAGAAGCCTCACGAATGAGTAGTGCTGCCATCTACCCATAGGGTTCTGAGCTAAGACGAGCTTTCACCCTTGCGGTGCTCTCTTGTCAAACGAAAGGCGCACCTTCCTGACTAAATTCGCAAAAAGCTAATGGCTGGCGAACTTGAATTGTACAGGTGTCATTAAAAACAACAATAAACAGGAAACGGATACGCGATTGGTGGATGGGTTACAGAAAAAAATATTAGAGGAAGAAAAAAAAATCATACTTCGCTGTTGTGGATGACATTCTTAATGCAGCCTTCAAAGCCCTCTCTTGTGTGCTGGTGTTGCCACCGATAATCCGTCAAGTACTGGTGATGAACACCTCCTAGCTGCAAGGGAGTGTTCACGTTCAGAAACTCATTGAAAGGTGGAATGTTGCTCTTCGTCTCACATCTGGATCGGTTAATTTTGGGTGGATCAGAGTCTTCGATTTTGGCTTTTTGGCAATTGTCAATCACTAGTCTAACAGTCTGGAAAAAAAAGGAAATGAAAATTTTGGGTTAGAAAAAAATGTTAATTGCATTAGACTAATTAACTAAGTTCATTAGATTATTAGGCATTTCTTTGTGGGCTAATATTTTTTCCATTTGTATACGTTTTATTTCATAAACGGTGTTGAACAGCCAAACCACTTTGAGTTTGCGACCTACAATGTTCAACACCGTAGCCTTGTAATTTTAAACCCAACCTAGAAGACAAGCGAATTCTTTGATCAAGCATTGAAGCAAACTAGCCTTTGCGGAGTACTTTCTTTTGAGGGAAATAACCCGAATTTGAGCATAGTGAGGAAAACCATGAAAACCTCCTACAGCTAGCTCCGCCAAAGGAATTTTATCCTATGATACGTCTATCATTGAGGATGTTTTATGCAGCACTGTGATCGGTGCGAGCCGGGCGCAGAATTCGCATCAACCAGTCACCGCTGGGATATGAATATGAACCTGGCTCACCTCATTGGGAGGCAAACGCTCTATCCCCTGAGTTCTGTATACTTGAAATTATTAAGGGTAACAAAAACACTGATAAAAGACTTGAAACAAAAAGCAATTTAACCAAAATATGTATGAAATAATCAGATAGGGAAATTATTTTGGATTAATTTTGGAATTTTATAATATAGCCATTACAATGTGTATCTGTTATATTCTGTAAATTATAAATATTGGTTCTAAACGTATTGTTATTTAAGCATGTATTGTTATTTAAGCACAAGTTATATTTTCAATAAAATAAAGACTTATTTTTTCATAAAAAACTGAGCTGATAAAAAATACAGTAAAGTGTAGAGCAATGTACAATACACAGTACAGCAATGCTAGAAAATCGGAGCAGAATTTTAAGTATGTGATGCCATTCACACATAACATACCTTAAAAATCTGTGTGGACCAAAGAAAAAGATAAGATGAAGATGTAAAATTTTGTTCATTTGTCTGAAATTTAATGCATGAAGGTAAAATAGGTGACGTTTAGGTTTCTGAAGTCCGAGACTTTCTTTTTTTATTCTTTAACTTTCTGTAAGAAAGTAACGGTGGTTAACTTTCCTTTATTCTCTATTTTTATAAAATGATTAAGAGAATAAGGTCTCATAGAGCATGTTCAAATTTGGTGGCATGCTTTTGGTGCTTTTTTTTAACAATTTCCCCTCATTAACAAAAATAAATTACAAAATTCTCCATTACTTATGTAAAAATGAAGTGTATTTAGAGTTTTACATATGCATTGCTGATTCTTCTTCATGCTTTCGCGATATTCGAGCTTTAATAATGGAACTGATTTATTTAAGAACATAAGGAATCATACATACCTCTCTGTCCCAGAAGATATCTATTTGATGCCATTCGCCATCGCTTAATGATTCGTCCACGTAGACCACAATCTCGGCAGTGCCAGAACCAAAATCGATGAGTAGCCGAGGTCTGCCGCTCTGAAGTTCCAGTGAGATGAAGTCTTGGACGGCCACCTCACCAATATCCGGATTGGAAATGGGTCCGTTGTAGAGAAGCAGACCGTCCGGCTTCCTGGTCATGAATTCCAAGCTGAGATGAGAGTTTTCGCATTGCTGGAGGGAAGGAAACCAGGCCCAACCACGACCGTCGAAGCTGCGGGTTGTCATCTGGCATTGAGGTCCTTCATAGCCATCTAGGCACTTGCAGCTGTGGACACAATTTGTTTTTTACATATGGCTGTTGAACTTGTTTTTTTAAAATAAACTTAAGTTAATTATAAAATAGAGCATCCTAGACAATGCTTTATTTTTTGCAATGCCATCTAGTCAAGAAAGATAATTGAGCTTCCTACTCATTAAGGCAATTACAATTGTTGAATGGTTATTTGTATTGTATTGTATCAATGTATGTACATATCAAATAACATTAAAATCGATCCAGTAGTTCTAGAGATAATCGACCAGGTCTGCAAATTCTCTTAATTTCTTACACCAATGTACTTAACATCAACTGATCTAGTTCATCCTGATAAGTTGGATATCCATTTAAAATTGCTCTTTATATACAATCCAACGAGTTCTTTTTAATTGGTATTTTCTCTCTGATATTATGTACTTTATTTAACTAAAAAAAGAAAGAAATGCACTTACCTCACACCGCCGTAGGATTCGAAGCATCTACCACCGTTATGACAGGGTAGTGGTCTCTTCCTGCAAGTCTCAATCTCAGAGAAATCACGGGCACCGCACACGCACTTGGGTTGCACCCATGTGTTCACACCCACGAAAGAGGTGCGGTTGGCGTTCACAACGATCGGTTGGCGATCTACCATCAAAATGTTAGTACAGCTGGTCTCACAATTTATGTTCTCAAAGAAGCACTCGTCGATCCCTACCATCGTGATGTTGATTCCGACTTCTTGCTCAATCTGAAAAGCAAATAATACACATTGAATCTACCCGAAGCACAGAATGCGCTAAATATATATTTTAGCGTATAACACGACAGTGCTGATTAAAACAGGAAAGCGATGATGTGCAGAGAAAAAGTCTCAAATGTTACTTTCACGCTTTTCCCCAGACATGAGAATGATTTTAAATATATCTTTAGTTTTTTTTTCCCGTGTCGTTTTAAAATTCGAAATACAAAGTGAACATTTATAAAACTTTGAAGTATGTTTACTTATTATATTGGTTGTAATATTGAACAACCTTCATTTGGATTTGATTTGAAACATCGTTAGATGAAGTGGGGGAGGGAAACAATGTATATCTGTTACCGTGAATGACCAAAATCAAGAGAATGTCGACTTTCACCGGTGAATGTCAAGAATCACTGAGTCGCTTTGGTGAATGTCCGAAATATTTGTTATATCCGATTTGATATTAATTTATTCGTTGATATTATTATATTTATTCGATATTTTAATATCGGCTGAGGATAGATTAGGAGAAACATCAGTGTACGGAGTACTGGTCAAATATATACCGGGCAGTGGCACTTAACTAGACCTGGCATATATTTTTTTACCAAAGCGACTATGTGATTGTAAACATTTACCGGTAGTAGTTAACGAAAGATATTGTTTTCCTATAAATATTTTTGCATCCCTAATTTAAAGGTATTTACTTGTACTGTTATTATTACGTTTTTAATTTTGTTTGTATCCTAAATTGAGAGTTTAAGAGGATTGTTGTTATTATTATTAGAATAACGTAATTTTGCATTACATTACTGTCTGTAAAAAGACCAAGAATATATTAAGGTGACGAATTTAAAAACCTCTCCCCAAAATAGGAAAGCATGAAATGAAATTCTAAGAAGAACCTGGCCCTATCTAGGACTTCGGTGTCAGTAAAGAAAAAAAAGTAAAGTTTTGCCAAAGAAAAAAACAAATATGCATTTTTAAAGCATTAACGCATTTTTTGTACTATTGCATTTTTTTCTTTTATTTTGTATTTCAATTCAGGGTGAACACCATTACTCAAAAACTAGGATTAAATAAAATGAATTCTCAGAAAAGAGTAATTACCAGCTCCCTGTTGAGGGCCACAATACCGTTCAACATGCTCGCTTTAAAATATGGCGTCCTGTGAGCAGAGAATCGAACGTCTGTGATGGGAGGACGCTCTTGTTTTAGGATGACGCTGAAGATGTCCACATTGTCCTTTCGTGTAGTCGTCAGGCTTGCAATCATGTCTCGAAACTTGTGGTACTTGCTCTTCACCTGTCGGTTCTCTGTCCAGTTCCAGACACGAACGAAATCTTCAGCGCTGATTCCTGAAATAGCACACCAGGAAGAAAAAAATAAACATTTGCGACAATTTCAACAATAGATATAGCAATTTAAAAAACTACGGAACAGTAATACCGTCCGCCATAAGCTTTAGCATGTTTTTGCACTATTCAGGGTGATTAAAAAAAGATGAAAATCAATTTAATTAATTTGCATTCCAAGATGTATAAATTGGAAATTAATAATCTATATAACAATGAAAAGAGAAACGTTTGATATTCTTATACGATTGTTATTATAAAAAAGCTCATTGTGTTCTATCCTTTGCAGCACAGCAAACACATGAATGTTAGCAAAACTGATCTCGCACACTCAAAAGCATGTTTGTTGCTGTTGCCATCCCCAAAGCCCAGCAGTATTAGATTAGGTCTACAAAGCCAAACACCCTCAGGAAGTCCAATCATGCATAAAATGTGCAGCTTCCGTTGTCTAACGACTACAGCACCTGTGGTGGAAGGCTTGACCCTGTTCCATGGCCTGCAGGCCTTGGCTGAGCATAATGGAAAGGCCTTCAAGCATAGGGTGAAGCAAGCTGTTAACGTATGCTCCCAACATAAAGCATGTCTTGTGTGATTGAATGCACAAGAGATTTGAGGAACAATCGAGCAGATAAAACCCTTCGTGCAAACTCAAGAACTCAGAAAACCTTGGGCTATATAGGACTCAGCTTACAACTCATGGTGAAACGAGGTACAGAACCGCGCTATCACCCCCAAAGCGATGATAAAAGAAACTTTAAACCTTTCCTCTTTTCATTAGTATATAGACTATTCATATCTAATATATATTTCCGAAAATACATTTCAATTAAATTGAGCCCATCTTTTGGAATACTTCGTACCATCTTTGGAATTCTTTCGTATTTCTGTAAGAACAACATTTTATCTCCTTACTGTTTCCAAAGAATATTTTACGTTTAAAAATCGTTAAGACATTTTGAAAGCTTATGGGCAAATTATACTGTTTATTTTAATGCAAATTTTTTATAGGCAATTGACAATTTACGTTTATTTTAATGCAAAGTTTTTATTTGTGGTACAAGTGAAACGTATAGAACCTCTTTAAATAACAGCTGTTTAAAAAATATTTGAACTAAGAATATCCAACTCAGATATGATGGTTTTTAAGCTAAACAGTAAAACAAGTGTATGCAATATAAATTACATGCTTATTAGCTTATATTTCATCTTGCATAAATGCAGATTTGCATCTAAATCTGCATCTTCAATGGAGAATAGAATTGTTGCATTAAATTTTTTTTGTAATTCAGAAAAATACGACTTTTGTAATTTTTTTAATATTATAAATAGTAAAAACTTTCATTTTATAAATAAAATATTACTTTTTTTGATAGCGTTGATTACGGTCTTTCAAAATATTTGAACAACTTTGAATTATAAAACTTTCTGGTGAAGTTTTTGTAAGTGAAAATGCTGTTCCTATGCTAAACTAGGCATAACATACACGTTGGATATAAATGTTTTGCTTATTTTCCCATTATAATACACACTAGTACATCTTGCCATTATTTTAGATTGACATATATAGTTGTATATGCTATTTTATGATACAGTTGTATATGCTATTGTATTGTATGATATCGTATTATTTATAGCTGAGATGTCTTGTCGGAACAAGACATCTCTGCTATAGATATCATTCACATGAACATATGTACCTGATGTATATGTCATTTGGACACATGTACCTGGCAGAATGGATTATGTATCTGATATGTCCGTTTGGACACATATACCTGACATAATGGACCCATGTGCTTGATGTCTATGTCCATTGAGACACACGTACCTGACATAGGGGACATATGTACCAATGTTGAAATGGACATATGTACCTGAAATTCGGATGGATCCAGAGTTGTAGATGGCCTCCTCCGGAATCTCTTTGACTGTGACTGATACATTTGCGGACACTTCTTGGGTGTGGACTCGATCGTGGACCAGGAAACGCAAGAAGTATGTCCCTCCACTTGTGACATTCTTCATGACGATCAGCCCCGTGTCTTTGTCCAGTTCGAAGTTGGGGTGGGCAATGTTGTTCTCCCAGTAAAAAGATTTGTCTGGCAAATCCCAGTCATCCAGATCCTCGACGTGGACTCGACCAATGGGTGTGGGTGGGGACTCACCTACAAAGAGAACAGCATAATGAACTTTCAGCAGCTAAAAAATCTTCAATGAATTAGCAATGCAAGTTTTTAATAATATTCTCATTATTGGTGTTTCGTATTATCTCGTCTACCGTTTTCGCCTACAGAGTCATTTTGGAATATTTCAAACTTATTTTATTGTAATAATTTATTATTAAGAAATTGACATTTTTTGCAACTTATTGCAAGAAATGTGGTATTTAAATTTGAACCATTTTCAAATTTATTTTCAGATTTGGCAGAAATGGTGGACGAGATAATACGTAAATATCCGTAATACGTAAATTAGGGGTTACCTCCATTTATTTCAAAATCTCATCGAAGGTTTTCTGAAAACAATTTTAGTTTTACTCATGATGAGGCAGCATGAGGTTGTATCGTCACAAAGAGCTCTCTAAATAAGAGCCTCACACAAACATTTTGAATATATTTTAATCTACTTATTTGTTTCGTAAAATTGTTTGCTTTGATATTTTTTCGTGTTTCCTTATTCGATCTTTTTCACTTTTGATCACTTTGAGAGGTTTTGATGGTCTCTCCTTAAGGTTTTCTTCAACACAAAGTCTATGGAAGAAATTCCTTGCCTCCCAAAAATGGTCGTAAATAGAGGTGGTCTTTCATGGAGGTTTCATAATAGTGAGGAAATATGTTAAGAATTAAATGATACACGGAGCGAGCTGTTCTGCAAAAACAGGGTGCGTAGCCAAATTTTTCAACAAAAAACAAGCAGCTTTTAAGTACTTTTTAAGCACTACATACATTAACAAAATGCAATATAATTTTAAAAGACTTCATATGATCACGATAAAATAATTAGTTTTTGACAAAGAACTCTTTTTCTTGATTAGATTAGCCATCATAAGAAGACAGAGATTTTTCGGTTCGAATTCAGAGAGTGGAAAGTGAAGCCTGAAATTGAGAATATCTAGCTAAATGCAGCAGAGTTACACATGAGAGTGCAATAATCTCACCGAACCCAGCTCAGTAGACGCAAATCCGGACTCGAAAGGATTTCATCAAACATATAAAATGATTGGGCTCTTTCATTCGAAGGTACTCCGAAATGGATTGTGGTTGAATGAATGGTGAAAACGTTGAGTAGAACAATGTGAAAAGCACGCTTTTGCACAATACGTTCCGAATATCGACATGGTAAAGAAAAAAAATCTCCTTTTTGAAAAGGGAAAATTAAGCACTTTTCAAAAACTCCAATAAAACTGGTAATAGGTTAGAATTAACCTATTACCATTGTATTTTTTCGTATTTTACTTTATTTACACAACAATAAACTAATATGCAAATTAAAAACTAATGTGTCTGAAAGGAGACCAACTGAAATATATGAGATTCTCCACTTTATAAAAGAAATTTCACGAAAACAGTTTTTTTACTTAGCACCTAAATTATATAATAAATTACCATTCCAGTTGCAAAACATCCTAACATATTCTTCTTTTAAGCGTGCTTTATTTCAATTTATGATGAACATTGACGATTTAGATCTCTATTTTTCACTTTAAAGGAAGCATTTGATTTTTTATACCAGTCTTGTGCCAATCCAAATGAATTTCTTATGTTACCTTTATTATTTTTTTTCATATAGTTTCATGTATTTTTTTCTATTATTACAGTGTTCAACAATATATGATGTCTTATGATGAGCAAAATAATTTATGATTGTAATATCCCCCCCTTTTTTTTAAAATGTTTTTTCTTCAAATTTCGAATTTAAATTTATTTTATTACTTTTCTTTGTCACCTGGACAGGATTTTCCTCTTGACGACGAATATATATTCTTTGTATTTATGTGTTGTTTTTGTTCCCAATAAAGTTATATTAGTTTGTTAAAAAAAAAGCACCTTTAAGCACTTTTTAAAAACGCTACGCACCATGAAAAATATAAAATAACAGCAAATTACTAAAAATTTTTTTGCCTTAAGTGACAAATTTGGAGAATTAGTGTCATTTTATGACTCAATACAAGATGTTTAAACTATCAAAACCTGAAATTAAATGCGAAAGAAATATCAAGAAAAATATTCTTTTATTTGCTTTTATCTCGAAATAAAAAGTTAAAAATTTCGTAGTCTCGAACTGTATAATTTTTTGTAAAAATAGCGGAAATTAATCGTTAAAAATCATAAAATCATACCCATATATTACTAAATTAAATTTATCTCATCAGACACAAGATCTAGAAATGAGCTTTAAGTCGCTGTCTAAAGATTGCGACAACTGATGCCAATTCAATTTATAAATTGCTAAAATAAAAGAATTGATTTTTGCTTCAATTTAATTGCAACCGTCTTAAGAAGAAGAACAAATGACGTTATAATAACATACGAGGAAATAATTAAGAGATGGAAACCTTTTTTCTTCCCTGCATTCTTTTTAGATGATTATAGTAACAGAAAATGTGACCTGAAAGTTAATAACGTTTCTTGAAATAGATTAGTTTTTGAAAATTAATTCTAAAAACTCATTTCGACGAAAAAAAAAATTTTTTTTTTTGATAAATCACGAGGCAGAAAACAGATTTTCTTTTTTTTTCATTTTATGCATAAAGTATGGAAAGAATGAAATTTCTTGATATAAATTATTGGCAAAAACGAAACGTATTAATTCAGGTGAATTCTTCTTCAAATATTTCCTTTCTTACAAATCTTGTAAATTATACAAAGTGAGGATATTGTTGAAAGCCCTTATTGAGTTAATAATCATTTAGTAGATTGATAAAGAATTCGATAAAATCTGAGACTTAAAAATCTTAATAAAGAAGATATCTTTTGTATTTTAATCATATTTAATTTCACACATTCAGAAATGATGGAAGGAATGGAACTTTTTTGATGCAAATTAATGGTAAAAATAGAATGTATTAATTTAGGTAAACTTCACATTTTACCTTTCCTACAAATTTTGCAGATTGCGCAGAGTGTGACCACTTTAAATATGCAAATATTCTTTTTTAAATTATTAAACCTGTATTAATCAGAGTAAAACAAAATAATCCAGATCATGCTTTTCTATAGGTCAAAAATGGGTCACATGCCTTTTATATGGTTAATATTGGGGATGGGGAATTTTGTTTTTTGCAATTGTTCTAAAATCATTCCCATCCTTATGGCACACTTTTTTTTCGGGCTTTCTCTGAAAAACTTCCCTAACACTAATATTTCTCTACACGCTTCTGAAGCTTGGGCAATGACAAAACTGGAGGAAACTTGTATCGCAATATTAGAGAGAAAGATAATGCGGAGTATGCTTGGTGGTGTAAATGAAAACAATAACTGGAGAAGGAGATTTAACTTTGAACTGTACAAGATTTAAAAGCAACCTGATATAATTAAATACATAAAAATAAATAGAATGAATTGGATCGCCCACGTGATTCGAATGAGTGATGACAACACAATAAAAAAGATACTGCTTTTTAGACCTACTGGAATAAGAAAATGGGCAAGGCCACTGTTGAGATGAGCTGACTCTGTGGAGTCTTGCAATTGATGGAAGGAATTGGAGATCAAAGATAAATCGGAAGTCGTCATGGAGAAATCTTCAGAGGAAGGCATTGGCTCACATTGGGCTGTCTGGCCAACTAATATGATGATGATGACTAATATTTCTCAACAAGATACTTTCAATGGTAATAACTACTAATTTAAACTAACAGAACAAAAGCGTTGTACTTACAAAAAAAAAGTTTACGAAATCACACNAGGTACTGTGACCCCTTAATGGTAAAAATAGAATATATTAATTTAGGTAAACTTCACCTTTTACCTTTCCTACAAATTTTGTAGATTGCGCAGAGTGTGACCACTTTAAATATACAAATATTCTTTTTTAAATTATTAAACCTGTATTAATCAGAGTAATAAAAAAAAATAATCCAGATCGTCCTTTTCTATAGGTCAAAAATGGGTCACATGTTTTTTATATGGTTAATATTGGGGATGGGGAATTTTGTTTTTTGCAATTGTTCTGAAATCATTCCCATCCTTATGGCACACTTTTTTTTCGGGCTTTCTCTGAAAAACTTCCCTAACACTAATATTTCTCTATACGCTTCTGAAACTTGGACAATGACAAAACTGAAGGAAACTTGTATCGCAATATTAGAGAGATAGATATTGCGGAGTATACTTGGTGGTGTAAATGAAAACAATAATCGGAGAAGGAGATTTAACTTTGAACTGTACAAGATTTATAAGCAACCTGATATAATTAAATACATAAAAATAAATAGAATGAAACGGATCACCCACGTGATTCGAATGAGTAATGACAACACAATAAAAAAGATACTGCTTTTTAGACCCACTGGAATAAGAAAGCGGGAAAAGTCGCGGTTGAGATGGGCTGACTCTGTGGAGTCTTGCAATTGATGGAAGGAATTGGAGATCAAAGATAAATCGGAAGTCGTCATGGAGAAATCTTCAGAGGAAGGCATTGGCTCACATTGGGCTGTCTGGTCAACTAATATGATGATGATGACTAATATTTCTCAACAAGATACTTTCAATGGTAATAACTACTAATTTAAACTAACAGAACAAAAGCGTTGTACTTACAAAAAAAAAGTTTACGAAATCACACGAATTTGACTCTTTTTAAAAAAGGGTTACGAAAAATACTTGTTTCGTATCGAGATTCAGTTTTTTTGTAATAAATGATATCGTAATAAAAATATCGGATTTTAAAAATTATCTTGAAAAATAAAATAATAACTACAAAAAAAAATCGATAAAATAAACAACGATAGAATCATTGCAAAGTAAATACTCAAATGAGCGATTCGAGTTTTCTAATTTCTCTGAAACATATAGGGATATTTATGATCCACTTGAAAATCAATAACTGCCGAAAATACAATCGATGCACCTTTGAGCCGCGATGGCTCAGGAGATAGAGTGTTTGCCTTCCAATGAGATGGACCATTTGAATCCCAGCGGTGGCTGGCCGATACGAATTCTGCATCCGCCTTGCACCGACTACAATGCTGGTATGAAATATCCTCAGTGGTAGACGGATCATGGGTTAGAGTCTCCTTACCGTCGGGCTAACTGTGGAAGGTTCACGTGGTCTTCCTCTCCATGTAACGCAAATGCGAGCTAGCTTCATAAAAAAGCCCTCCACGAAGGCAACTTTCTCCCAATACCTGATGCAGGAGTTCCCTTGTCTTCTGGATTGGGTTCAAACTTACAAGGCTACTGAGTTATACATTAGTAGTCGTATACACAAGAAATTGGGTCGGCAGTTCAACGACAGTTATAAAACTACAACAAAAGGAATTTCAATGAGGAGAAAGAAATGAAAGACAAACCTTTGAAGTTGTAGACGAAGATACTTTTGCTGCCGGGATGCATTCTGTTGTCATTGACGTCACCGATGATAACTGTGAGAGTGCTTGTTCCGGTCATGGACGGAGTGCCGCTATCTTTAATCACGATGGGCACTAGGTACTCCTTCTGTTGTTCTCTGTCGAATCGTTCCTTTGATGTCACAATGGCCATTCCGTCACCATTTGCACCAGCTGCAATTTTAAAAAAAATAAAGTCATTCCAGTTCTTGCTGGGTCATAAGTTCTAAATTTATTAAGTGTGATCCACGTTATGTTCAGAATATATACACTTATGAACTGTGATTCGGTTCTTAATATACCTAAATAATCAAAATAAAATTAAGTTAATATTTATTGAATGAGTCGTGATGGCTCAGGGGATAGAGTGTTCACCTTCCAATGAGGTGAACCAGATTCGAATCCCAGCCATGGCTGGTCGATACGAATTCCGCATTCAGCTTGCACCGACTCCAGTGCTGACGTGAAATATCAGCAGCCGTAGACGGATCATGGGTTAGAGTTGCTTGCCGTCAAGCTAATCATGGGAGGTTTTTGTGGTTTTCCTCTGCATGTGACGCAAATGTCGGTTAGTTCCATCAAAAAGTCTTCCACGAAGTCAAATTTCTACAAATACTCGAACCAAGAGTTCCCTTGTTTTCTGGATTGGGTTCAAAATTACAAGGCTTACATTACAAGGCTTTAACATTACTAGTCGTAAATCCAAAAAATTGGGTTGTCTGTTCAACGACTGTTATAAAATTATAAATTATTTATTTAATTAGTCATAATTATATTTATTTTAAAATCATCCCGCAGTACCACGAAAGTTGCTGATACCCAGGCTCGGTATCATGTAAGTTAGATGAACCCATGCTCAGTATCATGCATGATGTATGGATCTACAGTCAGTAGTGTTATATGAGTTGAATAATATTTTCGTCATACGTTGAATGAAACTAAGCTCATAATAATAGACGTTTAATTAACACACGTTCGGCATCATGTAAGTCGGATGAACCAAAGCTCAGTATCCTGTAAATTAGATGAATGCACGTTTGGTATAATAATCAGTTAATTGAGTTTAGTTACATTCTAAAGATTTAAGTTGCATTTTGAGAATGACACACATTGCATAAATAGAATATTTTGAGAAAGGACACTCACTGGGATCGTGTTGGACGTCAAAGAACTGCTTGATGATGTCTGGGGCGTTGGGATCCATTCTGAAAGTGAATGGGGGTCCGTTTCCTTTGGAACGATCGTCGTCGTCTGTGGCCAATATTTCCTCCACCTTCTGGGGCGGCGAATGCTCCATGATGACCGGTCTGTAGTCGCGCAAGAAACGAGGTGCATTGTCATTTATGTCGCTCACCACAACCGTCAACGTTGCTGTCGCCGTCCGCGGAGGTGTACCTTTAAACATAACACATCGATTAGAAAAAGCAACATAAGAGTAACATATTTTATATGAAAACCTGAAATGAGCATTTTTGATATTAATTCTTTGTCTAAAATCTTATTTATTATCCAGAACGAAAAGCTTTCTCATTATTGGATAATTTGCAAGGAGACGTCACCCGTGGGAGAACCAATGAGGTTCGACACACCTGATTCGAGGTCGCTGGCAGGTATCCAATTAAATCTGATCCAAAAATTGATTCAGCGTGATAATAAACCCAAGTTATATTTTATACAAAAACCTGAAACGAATATTTTTGAAATTAACTCTTTGTCTAAAATCTTATTCATTATCCAGAACGAAAAGCTTTCTCATAATTGGATAATTTGCAAGCGACGTCACTCGTGGGAGAGCCAATCAGGTTCGACACACACGCGTGACGTCGCTGGCAGACATCCAATTAAATCTAATCCGAAAATTGATGCAGCGTGATAATAAACCTAAGTCATAAAGTTGTAAAACGTTAACACGCCTTGTACAACCACGTGATTGGATACAAAAACGTGATTAGTTGCAAGTACCCAATTATAGATACAGTTTCTCGTTTAAAACTTTTATGATAATTATTTCTATACTATAAGAATTATCAAAAAAATTTCATCTCTAAGGAAGTAGAATAGTTCACCTAAATGATGAAAATCATAAAAACGTTATTTTTCATTTTGTATCACGTGATTATGACATAATTGGGAATCTTGAGACACTTCATATATATAATGTAAATCTTGAATATCTATCTTGAATATAATTTTGATAATATATATTTAATATATATCTTGAGAGACTTTATATAAAATACAATCGGACCGTTGGTAGAAAGAACGCGGGCATAAATGGGCTAACTTTTTATTGTATCATCTAGTTATCAGTCTTTTCAATAGTTAAAAGAATAGTTTCAAATTCCATTTTTCAAAATATCCAATTATGGTAATGGCGAGTTTTATTCCAGAATTTCTTTTTAAAAAAATGCATATGAGAAGTTTTTTTTTCTTTGGTTCCAATTGCTCGTTCAATTTTTTTCACGTAATTTAGAAAATATAGTTTTGTAAAAAAAAAATGGGGATTGAAGATGATTCAATGAAACATATTTACGTTTTTTGAAGTGCAATTTTTTTTTATTAGATTAGTAATACAGTTTTTATTCAATGTTTCTTTTTTTTTGCAAATTATAATCCATTATTTTTCAGAAAAGTTATAAGTTATAAGTATTTATTATTATATTATTTTTCATTTAAGAAAAAATAAGATATAAAGAATTTCGTTCCATGAAGAGTGATTGACTAGGAAGAAACTTAAGTTTATGAACAATAAGTGAGAAACTTTTATCCACGATTCTGTTTTAGGTACGATTTACAAATGTATAATAAGCTCAAAAGAAATGTGTTAGAAATATTTTACAAATGAAAGAACATATGAAGCGGACAGTTAATAATGAACTGGGTGTTCTATCATGACCGTACGTAATGTATATGTTTAGAATCCTTATCGGAAAGTATAAACATTAGGGAAAAATTTGAATGAGTTAAAAAATTGTTAAAAATTGTCGAATCATTAGTGAGGATGGTGGATGGAATATATCAAACCAGTTTAATTGTCTGGTGAAACTGGGTGATGTTTCCAATAAACGATCTTCAACTTTTGTTTCTCCGGCAATCAAACAGAGTTGGTTATAAGTTACACTCTCCTCAGTAGTGATTCGATAGATATACATATTATTTTGAGACTCCTAATGTGTGTATTTCTATTGACTTCACTTATAATAAAGATTTTAAGTATATATAATACGGGTAGTCATTGCGTAACACCTTTCATATATATTATTTCTAAATCCAATTTAGAGTTATTTCGCAATCTGATATCTATATTTTAAAGCAGGTTGTAGAAGAAAAAATACTTGCGAATAATAAACTGATTATTAATTTTTATCCGTTTATTAATTATTTTTTTATCCATTTGTTAAATTTATTTTTTAAAATTTTTATATTGTTTTATTATTTTTAATTTCCTTTCCATAACTAATGTTCTGTTTGCTTCAAACATTTTGCAATGTCAAGATTATATCAATATATTCAAGCAACTCATAAAACGAAAAGTTTATGTGAACAACAAACTAATTATTGATTTTCCTCCATTTATTTATTAATTTTTATCCAATTGCTATTAGTATTTTATTCGTTTAATGTAACTAATTCTATAATTTCTTCTAACATTTCGCAATGTAAAGATGATATCAGTATCGTCGAGAAATTCGCACGCATTCATTATTAATCACTCTTTTCTATCAATTTACTATTATTTTATTTAATATCCGTTTACTATAACTAATTCTCTGAGTCCGTCTAGCATTTCGTCATATTAAGATGGTATCTGTGTATTTTAGAAATTCAATAAATAAAAAGTTCGTGCGAACAATTAACTCATCATTAATTTTTATCCGTTTATTAATTACTTATAATCCATTTACTATTTTTAATTAATTTTTCATCCATGTAACAATAACTAATTCTCGTATTTCTACTACCATTTTGTATATACCAGAAGATGTTTGTATTATACTCTAGCAATTCTTGTAAACAATAAACTGATTTTTATTTTGCATCCAGTTATTAAAATTATTATTTTTTATCCGTTTACTATTATTATTTATTTTATTCATTTACAATCATTAATTTTTTTATAATGTGTAAGTTTAATATATATTTGTATCAAATACTAATAAATGGAACAAGTTTAGTAAATAAGTTAAACTACAAAAATATTAAGGATATAGGAAATGGAAAAAGACTTTTGCAGGGGGGAGGGGAACGCAGGCAGAAAGCTAAATAATTCAGATGTATGAGATTCAGACTAGCAAACATTCCCAGACTATTTGCTCCGACTTTTGCTTTTGCTCTCTATTCTCTACTATATAGTTTCTTAGACTATTTCATCGAAAGATAAAATTCTATTTCAAAAGAAACTTTTGTAGAACTTTTAAAGTCTCACTATGAATTTTGCTGATTTAAACAACCAAGCCGTAAAAAAATACTATACAGACATTCAACCATTAATAAACTGGCTGATGTCAGTCCCTTTTTAATGACTGATTGTGTAGGGTATTCCATAATCACCGCCATTAATACGTATTTTTCTGCAGAGTTTTTGTAAAAAATTGATTGAAAAAATATTAGTTATTAGGAGGAGAGATTTAATGTTTAATCGATTAAACACTTTTAAATAAGTAGTATTTAAAATATCAAAACCAGTTTGATTGTCGGATAAAACTTGAAATTGTTTCTAATGATAGTGTGGGGAAATTTTATATCGACAATGTCAACCTTCATCTATGAAAAGGTACCACAACATTGAATCGAGTTAACACATATACTCATATACTAATGTCTTATATACTAATGAATTGGAATTGTATTTTTGTAGTGGTAGACACACTACAGTACTCCCCCACCAGAATTATAGCTATGAGAGAATTCGATCAACGTATACCACTAGTTGTATCATTGCTGTTTTGTGAGAAGCAGAAAGAGCTGTATTAAGATAACCGTTCTTTTGCTGATCGTTAAAGCTATATTAAGTTCACGGTCGTGGTCGCTTCTGTGTTGCCATTAGCAGTCGAATGCATGCAGGCCAACGTTGTGTGAGATCGAGACTGAGTAGCAACAGCGTGAGGAGGTGGATAATGTCGCAGTCACAAGTAGAAAGTCAACTGTTCAATGTGGACCATCCATCGAGGTAGGCGTGCTCAAATTGAAGTGGGCGTTACTGTCAAGGTAGGCGTGTTCACATCTCGTCCGAAGGTTACCAATGTGGAGAGTGGTTATCGACAATGTCAACCTTTATCTATGAAAAGTACCCCAACATAGAATCAAATTAACATGTCTTATGTTCTTAGGAATTGGAATTGTATTTTTGTAGTGGTAGACACACTGCACATAGTTTTTTTTTTCATTTTTTCTTAATTTTCTTATCCTTTTTTTTTAATCCAAATTATTTAAGGAATTTTTTTTAAAATTATAATACTTATGTATTTTTAATAAAATATTGCCATTTTTTATCTAAAATAAAAAATAGCACTTTTTTTAATCATAATTATTAAAAGAATTTGTTGGTGAATTATCAATGCAAATGAATAGTTTTTAAGTCACCTACTAAATGTAGCCATGATTGAATCTTTATGTATTTTTATCAAAACAATGCAAGTTTTTTTCCGTCTATAATCATTAGTTTGTTCCAATAGATATTCTCTAAAGCTGGTTTTAAATAGCTCGGTTGTTTTCTAGCTGATGCATACTGTATCTAGCCATAGCAGTTTTTATTGTTTGTGAGGGCTTTTAATATTTTCTTTCTGTGGGAAATCTCTTACGTTAAATTTATGGAAATTTCATATGATTTTTTCCTTGATTAAAATCGAACAATTTAATTTTTTTAAAAATAGTTTTTGAAAATTTCATTTTAAAAATCTATTCGTATAGTTTTTATCAAGGTACATCAGTCTCCGGACCTCTGGAAGAAAGGATTTTTTAATTATGCACTTCGTTGAAATTTAAATATATCTTATTTTCTAATTCTATGAATCTGAATTCTACGAATAGTTTCTACAAATATATAGAACATTGTCTTCAAAAGCAATGCTCCATATATCAATCTAATATGGTTGTACAGGAGAGAAGGTTTTCTAATTGTCAATACTAAAAAATTGCATTTAAAGAAAAAAATCGAGGTTTTTATAATTATGTTACTGCGAATGACCAAAATGTTGTTGACTTCCACCGGTGAATGTTGACAATCACATAGTCGCTTTAGTAAATGTCCGAAATATATACTAGGTCAAGTTAAGTGCCACTGCCTACATCAATGTTTCCTAAGGTCAAGCGCCACTGTCCAGTATACATTTATTTGGCACTCCTGATGTTTCTCCTAATCTATCCTCAGCAGATATTAAAATACGGAATAAATATAATAACATCAACGAATAAATTTACATCAAATCGGATATAATAAATATTTCGGACTTTCGATTATGTGATTGTCGACGTTCACCGATGAAAGTCGACATTCTCCTGATTTCGGTCATAGCAATTTATATAAAAAGAACAATTCAGTAATGCCATCGGCGAGGGTCATGTCAATGGTAATGTTCGCGAGGGTCCCTGAAATGCGAGGTTCTGGGCGCTATTTTACAATCCAGCAGCCTTTAACGACTCACTCTCTTTTTTCTTGTGGGGATTTTTCTCTTGATTGTAGCTGGCCGTAATTACAAAGCAAACTTTCATTTTTATTTTTAAATATGTTACCTGAACTTAATTCCGCATCCAGCTTACACCGGCCACAGTGCTGACGTGAAAGTGGTAGACGGATCACAGGTTAGAGTCCCCTTGCCGTCAGACTAACAGTAGGAGGTTCTCCTGGTCTTCCTCACCGTGTAACGCAAATGTGGGTTAGTTTCATCAAAAACTCCTCCACGAAGGCAAAATTTCTCCCGATACTTGATGCAGGAGTTCCCTTGCCTTTTGGATTGAGTTCAAAATTACAAAGCTCTGTAGTGAACATTAGTAGTCGTAAACCCAAAAATAGGGTCGGCTGTTAAACGACAATTGTAAAAAAAACAAAAACACTTGTTTGACATTTGTTAGCTCTCTGGTCGTTAAAGGTTGCTGAATTTAAAAATCTCGTATTGGGCATATACATGCATATCACATCATCTTTCTATAAGGACAATGTACAAGCGCAGAAAAAGAATGTTCTTTTTTTCCGAATAATTCCAATCTACCTACCATCATCAATGGCCAGAATCTTCACTTGATGTCTGGGCGTCTCTTCCCTGTCCAGTGTACGCTGTATGCGGACCACTCCATTTTGGTCGATTCTAAATTGGCGTTTCTTGTCCGAAGAACGGTCGATGGTGTAACTGCAATCAATAACACAAAATAAAAAAAGAAAATTCTTTTAAATAAAAAGAACGGAAGAAGAATTTTCTTCCAAAAAAAGAAAAAAAGAAATCAATTTATGAAGCAAAACAAAAGGAAGATGGTGTCCTTAACTGATGACCAAAATAATGCCTCGGAATCTGTACAATTCTTCTTTATTCTAGATTTGTTTCGGCGGTTGGATTCATTGTTCTTTTTTTTTGTTCTTTTTCCAAAGGCGACAGCGAATGGCACCATTTTCTTTTTCTTTGTTTTCAGTCATTTGCTTATGGGGGGGAAAGGGGGGTTGAGAAAGAAAGAAAGAAACAGAGGGAGTGGAAAGTTAATAGCCATTAGGGTCGAGAGGCACGAAAAAGCGCTTTTCCCGTTTTTTTATTTCTCCTTTTTTTCATTTTTAGTTCAAATTTTTTTTTTAAGTATTTCATCGGCGTTTCCCATAAAATCTTTCAAAGTAATACAAATAAAATCTGTCATTTAAGGGGAAGCGGGAGTAACAGAAGGATTCCCGGTAATTGTTATTGTTTTTTGATACGATATGTCTTTTATCGGATTTAAAAGAAGAAAAAAATATATATATAAAGTAAAATATATTTTTTTTTATCATTTAATTTTATTTGAGTTTCCATAATTGAAATTGAAGAAAAGAAGGAAAAAAAAGAGGTAACTTATTGTGTGGTGTGTAACTTATTCCAAAGTTCTAATTATCAATTTTAAAATAATGTAGTTACAGATTTTCTTTTAAGTAATATATTTGCCGTTGTTTTTAAAACTTATTTTTATAATGACAGATCTTTGTTTTGACGCTTTATCCCAACCTATCCATAACGGTATTTTAACGTTATATTTCTAAATTTTACACTAACGTTACTATAACATTTCAGTTTTTTATTTTTTGTTTAATTTTTTTTAAGTATTTCGTCGGCGTTTCTAACAAAATGGTTCCAAATCTGTTATTTTGAGAGAGAACAGAAAGATTCAGATTAATTATTACCTTTTTTGATACGTATTGTCTTTTATCGGAATTGGAAAAATTATATATAAAATGAAATATATTTTTTATCAATTAATTCTTTTCGAGTTATGTTTATTGAAATCGGAAAAAAAGGAGAGAAAAAGTTATAGTGTAGGGTACAATTAAGTGTATATTTATAATTCGTTATTTAAAAAGCCGTATTATATGTTTTACTTATATGTAGCATATTCGTTGCTGTATTTTAGAAAATAGCACAGAACTTGGAATAGCACAGAACTTTCCTTGGAATTATTCACTAATAATTCCAAGGAAGCTAAAGCGCTTGAAAATGCGTATGCTTGAAAATGAGAGGTGTTTGGTCAATAAAACATTTCTCCAGAACTAAAATGGATACAAATTCAACATTTTTCGAGCATTCATAGTGCCATCTGGTGCAACGTTATGGATTTAAGAGTGAAACAGGAAAATGAAAACTAAAGTTGATGTATCACAATGCTGTTAAGCATATCGATTGAGACAGCATTATCATCAGTTTTGAAGCAAATATTTTACTCAGTTATATTAAATATATTCCGAAAAGTTTTATTTTTTATTGTTTTCAGCTATTAAAAGTACTAAAAAAAAACCACTTCGAAAGTAAATACAAAATGAAGGGTGTCTCAGTGTTGTGAGATACTTTTCAGAGGAAGTATGTAGGAATTGCAAAGCAACTCGTGACCAAAAATGGCACTGTACGCCTCTTGGGTTTATAGTTACTGTATTGCTATTAAATGTTTACCCTTATTGTAAACTTACTGTGCAACTAGAAGCACTATCCCAGATAGCACCGTTATTAGATAGCAACAAAAATACATCAGTCACGGAAACTCATTTTTGTAGTCACATGCGACCTCCACGACGTCGATGCGTGACTTTTTGAAGTTGACTATGTCGTTATATTTTGACATCACCCAGACGTCAACATGAGAGCACAATGAGACATAACTGTCGCAGTGACGTCACCGTGTGACAACAATGTGACATATTCACGTCTCAGCTTAGTCACACGGTGGCCTTCTTGAAACGTAAATGTCACAATTTCGTCACATCATGACTCTATTGAAACGTGAATAAGTGACATAGTCACCCAGTTGAGACGAGAATATGTCACATCTTTGTCACACTGGGGTCTTGAATTAGCGTAAATATGTCGCGGCTTCGCCATATCGTGACCCTGTTGAGACGTGGAAATGTCACATCTTTGTCACACTGGGGTCTTGAATTAGCGTAAATATGTCACGGCTTCGTCATTCGTGACCCTGTTAAGAGGTGAATATGTCACATCTTTGTCACGAAGTGTCGTCACTGAGATGAATAATTGTCTGATTGTGATCTCATGTTGACGTCTTTGTGACGTTCCCAAAGGCGGACGCAGTAACCTTTTCAGACCCACGCATCAACGTCTCAGAAGTCACATGCGACTTCAAAAACGAGTCTCTGTGACTGTTGCATTTTTGTTGCCATCTGGTAACGGTGTTATTTGGGGGTACAGTATTTCGGTCGATTACCGATTATTCAGCCACCCACTAATGATTAAATTTCAACCTTGATTTGGTTTATGTATTCATATACAGTTCTTATTAAAAAAAATTGCTAACTTAAGTGTAAAACTTTTTATTAGTTTTTAATTTTTTAAAACTTTGAATAATTTCTTATAGTTCTTTCTCACTAACTAATAAATTTTAGTGGGTGAGTTGTTATCTATCATGCTCAGGGTTGGTATTTTGTCCGATTTCTCCCAGGAAGCTGGAAGAAAGTGATAAAAAAACCGGAAAAAAACTCCTGGAAATGGAAAACTAAAAACTGCCAAATGTATTTGCTTTGCAATTATGTTTAATGGATAGTTAAAAAAAACTTTTATTTTGAAAATTATTATTTTGTTAATATTTTTCGACTGTATTTTAAAAATGATAAGCAATAATTCTGTTTTCATTAATTTTTTTTATTAAAGTAAACTGATATAATTTAATTATTAAACATAAAGTACTAATTTTTCCCAATAAAATTTTAATATTAGTAAATAAGCAAAATATTGTATATCTCCAAAATGTTAAAAAAAAACTTTGCTATAATATTTAAATTTAAAGCTTACAAGTTTTATTTAAAGTTAGTATTCTATATATGCACATGCATTTTAAAATTTCGATTCGAGATTTTCCTAATTTTCAATTCAAATATTAAAAAAGCTTTAAAGTTTTTTACCATTTAAATTGCATAATTTATCACAGAATAAAACATCTAGAACAACAATAAACATTATGGTTCAGAAAAGAAAAAGGAATTAAAAAAATACTATTTAATTTTAACACTAAATTAGTATTAATAAAAATCTATGATACTTTGCTTTCTAAAAATCGATTGCAAAAAGATTCAACTTTAAAACAGTTATTTGTGTTTACAGGAAAAGATAGGCTTAAAATATTTAAAAATTATGTTTACAAGGTAAAGATTTCAATAACTATATACAAATAAGCAAAGTTCATTTTTAAAAATCAGTAATGATAATGTTAAAATTTTATTTATTTATAATAATGTTAAATAAATAATTGTGTTTAGTGAGAATTGTAAATTGAAACATTAAAATAATTTGGAAACGATCCAGAACACAGTTGTTGTTAATCAATGATCACGATAACACTGATCAATGATAACAATGATCAATGAAAGATTTTGCATTGAAATAAAACTTCAAATATTTTAAATTTCTTAACTATTCAAAAAATTTTATATTAAGTGAAAAAAAAACCTAAAATATTAAAAATTTATCAAAAACATTAACTGCTTTACAAAATCAATCAATCTTAACAAGAAAATAAAAACCATAAAAAAATATTGCTGATTGAGCTGCATTATTATAAAAATGAAGAGAGAAATGTGACAAAAATGAAAGAACAATAATTTGGCGATCTAAAATAAGAGCCGGATAAGTATTTGAAAATGAAAGAATCTTTAAACAAAGAAATTAATTAAACTTAAAAAAAAAACATCGAACAAAACGAATTGAACAACGAAAGTGAACTCAAATCATATCAATTTTTTTAGTCATCAATAACAAAACACTAACTTATTCTAATTATCTGTAAATCACAAATACTAATTTATTCTTTAATACAAGAGCTTATATGCAAGAGGACAAAAATAAGTTGGGCTCCCCCCCCCCTTTCATTTTGCTTTTGAAATAACCACTACGGAAACACAAAACTTCTTAAAATCATTGGCTAGAACACTTTTCAAGAGAAAAAAAAACTAAAAAAATAAAAATAAATAAACCATAAAAGAATCAAAGCTGCATCGAGTTTAAATACAACATTCCACAAAAGTGATCACTTTTTTGAAATTTTCAATTTTTGGTGAAATCATCGTTGCCATAATTATCTTATGAGTCTTCGTTTAGACATTCTCAAAGAAAAAGATGTAGCATACGGTATCCTGTTGTTTGTCCCTTTTCACCAAATAATACATTACCTAACAACTAAGTAACTAAACATTATCAAAAATCAGCAGCAAATAAATAACATTAAATGAAAGTAGAACAAATCTTTAAAGAGCAAAAGCACGTATAATCTTTTTTAACGGACTCAGCACAAATTAATGGATTTTAATCTTGTAAGAAATCTTTTACAGACGATTATAGGTTTAATTTTAAGTAATAGCATCTAAGTATGGACTGTCTGAATTTGAGCCATTCCTTGAAAAAAAATGTGCTGACTGATACAAAATGGCGGCAGATGTGGTTCGCGATTGATTTAAAATCGTCTGCTTTTTGCGAACAAACATTAAATAAATGATAATTCTTTTGAATGATTTTCACCTATCAACAATCTCTCCAGTTACTTTTTATAAGTTGCAAAAATTAAATTTAAAATTTAACACAAATTATTATTTGCATTTTAAATTAGACGTATTATTTAAGAAACCTAAACAGACCTTGCTTACATAATCTATATTATTACAAATGTAGGCAAAATA